ATTTCCTCACCTACCAATGAGAATTTGGGAGGAGGAAATCATAAGTGAAGTTGCCTCTAGAGTTGGAGTTCCATTGACCACAGATAGGGTCACTCTTGAAAAAGCAAGGTCCTCTTTTGCACGAGTTCTAATAGAGGTGGATGCTTCCAAGGCCCCCCCTCTCTTAATTCCTATTCGGCTACCAAATGGGAGGCTACACAAACAAAGGGTGAGGTACGAAACCTTTCCAAACTATTGCTTTCATTGCAAGTGTTTCGGTCACCATGCTTTCACTTGCAAGGTTATTGCCCAAATTGAAAAAGAAGAAATGGAGATTGCAAGGAAGAAAAATGGGCTTGAGACCGAGGAGGAGGAAGTTGATGTGGGAACCAATACAACAATTGAAGAGCCCGTGACTAACATTGGTATTGAACATGATAAAGGAAAAGAGAAGTTCGTCAATGATTATGATGTCCCAAAAATTGATCATCCTTTCTTCAAGAAGATACGGTTCTCCAAGAATAGCAAAAAGAAACCAAGAAGAGGGGAGACAACCACATCTTCACTCCAAGATGACCAAACTGATTTGCAAACCTCTCGGGTGGTTAGGAACTTTCATGATGTGTACCAAGATGAGGTGATCTTTGATATGGATCCGGATGAGTACCTTACACCTACTATTAAGGTGAAACAAATTGACGAAATGGACAAGGAAGCTACCATAATCAAGATTGACCACAACCTTAAGGTGGTCAATAAGAATGAACCCGGTATGTTCTTTACCAAGGATTGCTTGGAAGGTCTCCCCGAAATTACACACACCAAGGAGGGCTATGCTTATGGCTCGGTCTTCATGAGGAGTGTTTATAGACATTTCTTATGTAGATTCTTCGAAGATGGGTGCCCAAGGGGAAATGCTTGCAAAGTGAAGAACCCAAAGAAGATGGATCTTACAAAAAGCCGTGTGATCTATGATATTAGAGATGCATATCTTGATGACGTTATTACCAAACTTGGGGTGGACCAAGACAATCGGCCATGCATCCATGTCTCGCATGTTGATGAAGTCAAGGAGGGGATGACAAGATTGGACAACTACTTGAATGTAACACAAGATGGCCAAACCATGGGGCTGAACTTCACTACTCTTTGCCTTAAAAAGCTGCCCGGAGTCATTGCTAACGAGGAGGGGTATGATTTCACTTCTTTCTTTGTTCAATATATATATGATTTCCTTTTTCTTGCTAGGTACAAACCAAGGGGCAAAACAGTGGAGAATGAGGCCAAAAGGGACAAAAAGGGGAGATCTTTCTAATCCTTTTTATGTTTTTAGCAGCATGGAATGTCCGAGGCCTTAATAAGGTCTCTAAACAAAACTCTGTAGTTAATTTTATGCTTTCTAATTGTGTTCATGTATGTTGTTTACTTGAAACAAAAATGACTTCTTCTAATTTTGATAGATTTTCCAAAAATAGGCTGCCTTCATGGTTATCTTCTACAAACTTTGACCTTATTGAGGGTGGGCGCATGGCCATACTTTGGGACCCTAATTTTGTACAGGTTAATATCCTTGAAATTGAAAAACAACATGTCCATTGTGAAATTAAGTGCAAAACTACTCAAGTACAATTTTTTGTTACATTTGTCTATGCCCTTTACACGGTTTTAGAGAGAAGATTACTCCCCTTGGCTAATTTGGAACCTAACATTACTAGCCCTTGGCTTGTAATGGGAGATTTCAACTGCGTTGGTAGCCCAAATGAGAGGGTGGGTCCCACCCCTCCCTCGGCTTATCTTATCCAAGACCTAAATGACTTTAAAATTCAAACTAATCTTGTTGACACTCCTTCCACGGGTGAGTTCCTTACTTGGAATAGAGGATCCCTTTGGGCTAAGCTTGATAGAGTGCTTATGAATCCTAGTTGGAGTATGAATGGTGTTTCTTGTAAAACTCATTTTTGTGATATGGAAGCAGACTTTGATCATGTTGCCTCTCTTGTTTCTATTGGTCAAAACCAGTTCAAAGGCACTAAACCTTTCAAGTTTTACAACATGTGGCTTAAACATGAGACTTTCAACACCATCCTTACCAATCATTGGGGTAAAGTGGTTCATGGAAGCTCTCAGTTCATCCTTGCCCAAAAATTGAGAACCTTAAAAAGACCTCTTAAAGAACTAAATAAATTGAATTTTGGTCATATCTCGGAGAAGGTTAAGGAAACAAAAAAGGAGTACAAACGGGTCCTTGGGTTGTCTATGCATGCCCCTCTTGATGTTACCATTAGGAATGAGGTTGAACTGATTAAAAAGAAACTCCTTAACCTTAAGTCGGTCGAGGAAGATTTTTATAGACAAAAAGCCAAAGCTACACATCTCATCCAAGGTGATAAGTGTACTAAGTATTTCCATTCAATTGTCAAGAAGAATCTGGCTAGAAACACCATTACGGCCCTTAAACTTCCCAATGGTGATTCTACCACTTCAATTGACCAAGTTGCTATGGAATTTGTTGAGTTTTACACTAAGCTATTTGGCACACACTATCCTACCACGGGGTTAGATCCTAGCATTGTTACTTCGGGTAACATTCTGCCATTGGATGCTGTTGAGGGCTTAGTTACTCCAATAACTGATTTGGAGATTAAAGAGGCCCTCTTTGATATTGGTGATAACAAAGCACCTGGCCCTGATGGATATACCTCGGCCTTTTTCAATCACAATTGGCACCTTGTTGGTCATGAACTTATACTAGCCGTCAAGGGCTTCTTTGGATCTGGTAAGCTACTTAAACAACTCAATCATACACTCATTGCTTTGATTCCTAAGACCACACACTCACCCACAGCTTCAGATTTTAGACCTATTTCATGCACCAATGTTATCTATAAGGTTATTACCAAGATCCTAGCTAAGAGATTAATTCCATGCCTACCTAATTTGATTGACCCTGCCCAGGGGGCTTTTGTTGATGGTAGGTTCATGATTGATAATGTGTTTATTGGTCAAGAATTGGTTAGAGGATATTCTAGGAAACATGTTTCACCACGTTGTATGATCAAAGTAGACCTTCGGAAGGCCTATGATACTATTTCATGGGACTTCCTTTATAACATGCTTTTACATATTGGCTTTCCTTGCAAGTTTATTCATTGGATCATGGAGTGTGTTACCACACCTTCTTATTCTATTTCTATAAATGGGGTTCTTCATGGGCATTTTATTGGTAAAAGGGGCCTTAGACAAGGTGATCCTATGTCCCCCCTTTTATTTGCTCTTTGTTTGGAATATTTGTCTAGATTATTGAATGTGAAAACCCGTGAAGCTCCTTTCAAATTCCATCCTAAGTGTGGCAGTTTGAAAATCTCACATATTGCTTATGCTGATGACTTGATGCTTTTTTCGAGAGGTGACTATCCATCTATTAAAATTCTCATTGACTCCTTAGAAGAGTTTGGCAACATATCTGGCCTTCGGGTCAATTATGATAAATCCAACATCTTCTTAGGGGGAATGGCTATATATGAGCTTGATAACATCTTGAGTTTGGTGGATTTTAAAGCAGGATCTTTTCCTGTTAAATATCTTGGGGTTCCTCTTGCTCCCCTTAAGATATCTGTGACACACTTTGCCCCACTATTAGAGTCCATTTCCACCTATATTAGCGCATGGAATCTCAAGACCCTCTCCTATGCTGGTAGAGTTGAACTCATTAAAGCCGTTATACAGGGTGTGCACTCTTTTTGGTTACAAATGTTTCCTATCCCGAAGGTAATACTTGATAGAATAACAGCTATGTGCCGTATCTTCCTATGGGCTTGTAAATACTCTAGAGTATCTTGGGCTGATGTATGTCTCCCTAAACATGAGGGTGGCCTTGGAATACATGATACCAAAATCTGGAATTCAGCTTTGCTTGCTAAAAGTTTTTGGGACATTCATCTTAAAAAGGATACTCTATGGGTTAAGTGGGTTCATAGTGTGTATCTTAATGGCCGAAGTGTGTGGGATTTTGTCCCACACCATAGGGATTCACAATTAATGAAGAAATTTGCCATGGTACGTGATGAGATCATCTCCAAATTCGAGGATGTGGCTGACACCATTCGCTGTTTGAACTCCTTTCAAGCTAATGGTAAACTTGTATCCTCAAAAGTCTATGATTTACTTAGAATTAAGGCCTCTACCCGTAGGTGGATGTCCTTTATTTGGAAAGACTATATTCCCCCTAAATTTTCCTTTACTACTTGGTTGGCATTCCGGAATAGGTTAGCTACATGTGATAATCTTCATAGACTAGATGTAGTTAACATTTGTGTTATGTGCAAGGGTGGGCCGGAAACGGCTTCACACCTATACTTTGAATGCCCTTTATCAGGAAAAATTTGGAGCTTGGTGAAGAATTGGATGGACATGCCGAGGCTTATGGGCACACTTTCAAGCTCGGTCAAATGGATTAAGAAGGAGAGGAGTGGAGCCACCATTAAAGCTAAAGCGACAAGGATTGCATTTTGCTTCTCGGTTTATCACATTTGGAGGACTAGAAATGCCATCAAGTTTGATGGTACTTCCCCCAAAGTTGAAGACGTTTTTGCTCGGATCAAGTATATTGTCTATAAAGTTTTGTATAGCATCTATCCACATGAATTGGTGGTTTTTTGACGTTCACTAGCCCATCACCTTGTTTTTGTGATCGGCTTTGCATAGAGTGCTAACCAGCCTCTCTGGTTTTGTTTTTGGAGGTGATGGGTTATCCAATCTTTGGATAGCCTAAAATTTTGGCCACCTTTTTGCTTGTACAGTTTAAACTCTTTGGATGGTTACTTCAATATATACTTACTGTTCATCCAAAAAAAATATAAATAATGAAATGTGTGTATTAGTTAATAGGGTGCGTTTTGTAAATATAAATTCGAATCAATAACGGTTCCACATTTAACCTGACATAGTATACCGAAACGGGGTCTTTTTAATAAATATAAAAGATACACTTCTACGTCGGACTCCTTTATATCCCTTATCGAATGATTTTAACCTAGACGTACTAACCTTTTACTGCGTATTTTCCTAGACGAAATACTCCGTCTATGGCAAACACAGCAGCTAGGGCAAAACGAAAACCCAATTCGGGTGAGGATGCCATACGAAGCTCGGAGTTTCTCCAACTCCAATCGCCTTTTCTACCTCAACAGTCGTAGGTGCTCCGTCGCACGCTGTTCCTCTTCATCAACGTCAGCCACCACTCATCCAGCATAGGTGAAATTACGTTTTCAGTATATACTCAGGGTTCGATTATTGTATATGTTTTTGTTTAAGGGGGCGGTGGCGATAGCATTGGTGCTCTTCACCTTGGGGTTGTTCTTCCAGATTTCGGGGTAGCACCAGGGATTCAGTTTGCTAATATGCAGACCAACTTGATTTCCGCCTCGTCACTATTCTTTTCATCGCCATCAGAGTTTACATTTACGCTGGTTGGTTCTCTTTTCGGTCTTAATTTGTCTTTTTTCAGTGTATCCACATGTATTCCCCCTCTGAACTCTTTGTCTGGTACTCTACCTTTTGCTACTATGTTGTATGTAGTAGTTCACTTGATATACTTTCCAAACCAATTTATCTTAAATTAGTAGTTGGTTTGGATTCAAATATTATTGATGGGGTGAAAGTGAATCTATCATCTGTCTGGATAAACTTATATATAATAAAGTTCATGTTAAGATTTAAAAAATACTCGTAACTGATTTCATTTATGGTTGAAAACTATATATTTTTTTGGTTTAGCACTGTTTATTATATGTTTGTAAAAAAAGTTTCTATGAGATTTTCTAATTATGAATGTTGCTTCAAAAAATAGTTCTTTTGTCTGTACTGATCTGAAGAAATATGATCTTTGCATCACTTTATTCCAAACTTTTATTTGTATTGATCTGATGATTTTTTGGTGCAGTCCTGTGAGTCCTATAACAGATGTTGTTCCTTTGAGTTTGGTGCTTCTTCTTTCTCAAATTAAGGAGGCTCAGGAAGACTTGGTGTGTGCCATTAGCTAAATTTGCCATAAAGGTTTTTTTGAATGATATAAATATTTCTCTCGCAGATCATTAACTTGAGTTTACAATTTACATAATCTAGACTTTTTAACTGCTTTTACTCACTTGTGCTAAAACATTTGCACAGAAACACTTTCAAATGACATGTTATTCAATAATATACTTATTTACTCCCATAGACGTCTTTCAAGATAAGAAATGGTTGAATGTTCCTTGGAAGAAGCTTCAGGTTGGGGACATCCTTAAAGTAAGAATACTGCTTTGTATTACTTAATTTTTTTATACTTTTTGATTGCCTTATGTGCTATGTTTGTTACAATAGTCATATGAGCCATTTTCATTGTTTTATAATGTAAAGCTCCACCCACTAGTATAATGTAAAGCTCCAGCCACTATTATTGCTTATCAATAATTCAATCACGTCAACTCATTAGTTTATTTTCTTATTGCCTTATCATAATGTCAAGTCCCCAGATGAGGGTGCCATGATCTTATCTCTGAACCAGATTTATTTATATCATGGTCAGAAACACAAATTGTTATTTTAGTATTTTATTTCTTGTTTTAATTTTGGCTCCACGATAAAGTGAGCATCGACTAAAGCTTGTCATCCAAGGTTGTCAAAGTCGTGCGCCTGAGCGCTTAAGCGCACCAGGCGCAGAGCCGTAGGCCTCCAGCGCCCTAAACATCGCCAATCGCACCTTCCCCTCTCAAGTGCAGGTTGGGCGCAATAAGCGCAGAAGCGCAGTAGCGCAGTAGCGCTATTAAGCGCTCACATAAGGCGCCTGAGAGGGATTTCCATTAATTTCAGTAAATTTCACACGTGTGCTGAAACAAAACCATTAAGGAGCCCATATTTTTATCAAAGCCCACCTAAATTAGGTCAAAACAACTTGACCTACGCTAAAGACATAACTTAAACATCCTCCCGCTCTGCTCTGCTCTACTTTACGTGTTCTTACATACTACCAGTATGTTTTTTGTGTATTGTATGTGTAAAGTGTAAAGTGCCCTTCTTCTACTCTATGTCTCTTAAACATGTATAAAAATACATGTGAAAAAATATACTAGTCTACTCTGTATGCATATGCTTAAGTTTAGAAATATACTCTATAAAAATACATGTGAAAAAATACATATGCTTAAGTTTATGTTTCAACATGTTTAGTATGCTTCTTGTTCAGTCTATTTTGTTAGCCAGTAAACTTCTTGTTCTTGTAAACATGAAAAAATATACTTCTTGTAAACAGTTTAATATGCTTCTTGTAAACATGTTTTAGTATTTTTTACAGTTAGTATGTTTTAATGCATGTTTTAGTATGCATGTTTAATATGCATGTTTTAATACATGTAAATATACTTATCAATTACAGCAGTTTAATACTAAAATCTATTTCAATGCATGTTTTAGTATTTTTTACAGTTAGTATGTTTTAAAGCATGTTTTAGTATGTATGTTTAATATGCATGTTTTAATACATGTAAATATACTTATCAATTACAGCAGTGTAATACTACAAGTCTAAAACTTATTTCAATGCATGTTTTGGTATTTTTTACAGTTAGTATGCTTAAATTGTGTTTTTTCTAGTTTTAGTGTTTAAGACTTTAAGTGAATCATGAGTCATGACTTTATTTTGCTTAATCACTTAATCGTGACTTTATTTTGGTCAATCGTGACTTTATTTGGGTGAAGCATAACTTTATTTGTAAGAAACATGACTTCTTAATGTATTTTCTTAAATATCGTGAACGGGTACATCATGTTTGATTGTTGAAGAATAGTATGTGTTATTTTTTCTAAGTAGTGCGCCTGACATGAGTCAGGCGAGCGCTTTTTTGCGCCTTGTGCCTCAGGCGCTAGGCTAACCCTGTCGCCTTGAGCACGCCTAACGCCTTTGACTACCTTGTTGTCATCTATAAACCTGCAAATGTTGATAATTAGTTTTAATGGTCTAGTGGCTTTAGTCATATTTTGAGGCTTTAGACTTTTCAGCCTCATTGTCCACCATAGTGTGAAACTGCGAGTTTTAATTGCATGTTGCTATTCTATTAGGTTAAACAAGATGAGTTTCTTCGTGTTGACATATCGTTTCTAGCCAGCACAAATCTCGATGGAATCTGCTACATTGAGGTTGTACTTGGGTTGGCCCGGTTTCCTTTTACATTTCTTTGTTATGTTAATTATTGTTTGTTTTCTTTATTACGGGGCACTATTTATATGCTTCTAGCTGGTCTGTCAATGCAGCGAATGGGCACGCATGTTTCGAGTGAGATGTTATGGTTCTAATGTTTTTTGGAGAGGTCATTCTCTTGTTTGTTGCTAAAAATACTTTTATGTTGCAGGGTATTAATTATACAGATATGGGATATGAATTTCATTGATGTAATCTATTTGACATGAAAGAAAGAGATTCGGAATTTTGATAGGCTTGTGTGGCTTGAAGTGAAAAGATTATCCAAATGGATCTTGAATTCAATGAAGCAGTTATTTGTTGTAGTTAGTGTTTACTTTTCATGTAAACACAGTATTGTAGTTTTGATATATTTGAATCGAGCATATGCAATTACGTAGTACAATACTTTGAATAGTGTTTGTAATTATAAGATTTTGAAGTGTTTGTAATTTTACGATTTTGAATGAGGTGTATGTAATTTCTACAGGTTTACATCAATACATGTATGGAAATATGGAAGATAATTATAGAGAAGTAAAAAATGTAGAAAGCTACGTAGGTTTTTTTTTTATTTAAAAAATAAACATTCCATAACGGTTGTTCCATAACTGATATAAGTTCTTTTCAGTATGGGGTTCAACCAACCGATAGTAAAAGTTCCGCCTTTTCAATATGGGGTTCAACCAACCGATAGTAAAAGTTCCGGGTTTTCTATGTCGCCTGTATCTATATGGGTTAACAACCGACATTAAAAGTCGATTTTAACCCATATTAAATGTCTATTTTCCACTAGTGTCTACTTAATGGAAATCTAATGCTTATTAAACCTGAGAGTTTGAACGGCAATAGCATTACTAAGGAATTCAAGTGTTCATAACGGATCACATTTAAGGATCTCATTACTATTATTAAGGATAGTTATTTTGAATTTGAATTCAACATCACAATCCTATCAACTATTACACTGTCCGGTAGGCTGCTCGTTTTTATTATTAAAACAAAAACCGGTTTAGTTCTAATAAACCATAGAATTATTGTTCAAAGAATTAGAGAGTCTCTAGACTTAAGACATTAATTTCATCACTTATAATTCGTTTGATCAAACGCACATATAAATGAAAAAATTAAAATGTCATATCATCTTATATGATACTTGAATAATGTTCCTTATCACAAAATGACTATAAATAATCATATGAGACTGTTTATCCTCTAATACAGAACAAATAAATTCATTGTTTAATACATCACTTTACATTCTTTACAACTATGGATTCTAATTTAAATCCAAATATGTAAGTACGTCGTTCTTTGATGTATTATCAGCCTCCTCTCCATATTTAATACAACTATATTTTAGGACACAATAATGTGACTAAAATAATATTTATATCATATTTCCAACAATCCCCCACAAATCCATAGTTATAGACTCAACTTTAAAACATATAGTTTGCTTTCGAATATGGTACCTTCCGGTTTGAACCATCTTCTAAGCTCTTACCATTAACCCCCACAAGAAATAAGTGAACATAGTTCTTGAACTTGAACCTTGATTGTGTTGGCGTGGGATAAAAGCAACACACTAACGGCAATGACAATGATCTATAGGGGTGACGCTTTTACGACCATGCTTCCTAATCCTGTCTCAAGAATGTCATCGGGAATTAACCCTTATTCTCTTATTGCGGCCACACAATAACATTCTCATAGTTGGGCATCTCCAAGAGTGCATTACTAACACTCTGCAATTAAGCTCGATCCCATTCAGAGTCTTAAACTCTTACTAACTTAGCAACTTCAGCATCTTCAAGGCTTATCAAGGAATAGAACTCATAAAATTATTTTTAATGAGATGCACAATTCACTCTACGGTTTGTTTATACCACATTGAACCTACTTTATGGGATCTCCACCTAGATAGGTTGGGTTGCCACCGTAGATGAATAATTATTGGATTTCAGTCCCATTCCTAACCTTGATTTTATCACTTGATTTAAATCAAGTCCTTTTGTTAAAGGTTCTGCTGTATTATCTTTGGATCCGACAAAATCAACAGCAAACACTCCTTGAGACACAAATTTCCTTATAGTTTTTAATCTAACTTGAATGTGTCTCCTAGTCTTTTGATTATACTTGGTACTCCTAATTTTTTCAATTGTACTCATACTATCACAATGCAAACAAATAGGTGGAATTGGCTTGCTGAATATAGGTAACTCGGACATTAGTCCCATAAACCATTCAGCCATAATTCATGTAGTATCCAACACACATAATTCAGCCTCAAAAGTAGACCGAGAAAGTACAGTTTGTTTAGTGGACTTCCAGGCAACAGCCCCACCACCAAATGTAAACACATAGCCAGTATACCCATAACTCCCGGAGTTCTTAGCTATCCAGCTTGCATCACTATATCCTTCAAGAACAGGAGGATATTTACCATAATGCAAACACAAGGAAATTGCTCCTTTCAAGTATCTAAATACTCTATTTAAGGCCTCCCAATGAGTTCTGTTTGGACAACAAGTGTACCGACTCAGTTTAGACACTGAAAATGCAATATCAGGTCTAGTACAGTTAGCTAAGTAACCCAAGCTACCAATCATCTGAGAATATCGTAATTGAGACACAGGAACATCAATTTCATTTTTATACAAAGCTACTGAAGGATCATAGGGTGTTTTAGCAATTCTACTATTTTTAAATCCAAATTTCTCAATTAATTTTTCAATATAATGTGACTGAGAAATAGAAATGCCTTCAGTTGATCTTGTCAACTTTAACCCAAGAATTACTTCAGCCACCCCCATATCCTTCATTTCAAACTTAGTTTTCAAAAATGACTTAGTCTCAAAAATAATATTATCATTAGTGCCAAATAATAATATATCATCAACATATAGGCATAAAATAATACTTATATCACCTTTACATTTATAATAAACACTTTGATCAGCATCTATAAGAGTAAATCCAAACGAAAAAATTATTTTATCAATTTTTTCGTTCCATTGCTTAGGGGCTTGCTTAAGTCCATATATAGACTTAACTAATTTACAAACTTTTTTCTCATTGCCTTTTGCCACAAATCCTTCAAGCTGATCCATATAAATTTCTTCTTCAAGGTCACCATGAAGAAAGGTTGTCTTAACATCCATTTGATGAATTTTAAGACCATATACGGAGGCCAATGCTATGAGCATTCTTATTGTGGTCATTCTTGCAACAGGAGCATATGTATCGAAAAAATCAATACCTTCTTTTTGTTTATAACCCTTAGCAACTAATCTGGCCTTATATTTATCAATGGTTCCATCTGGTTTTAACTTCTTTTTAAAAATCCATTTACATCCAATAGTGGTGCAACCCAGAGGAAGGTCGACGAGCTCCCATGTTCCATTTTGAACAATAGAGTCCATTTCACTTTTAATGGCATCCTTCCAATAAATGGCCTCAGATGTGGCCATTGCATCTCTAAAGGAAATTGGATCACCCTCAGTATTGTAAGTGATAAAATCACTTCCAAAATCCTTAGTGATCCTAGCTCGTTTGCTCCTTCTAGGCTCATCTAGATCATTTGATTCAAAATCAATATGACTAGAATTATTAGATTCTACCCCCACATTTGTCATCTTTTCCACTTGACCAGGAATTGAATTAAATGTGGTTTCTTGATTTTTAAGAGAAGTATTTTGGGGCACACCTATTTTCATTGGAAAAACATCTTCAAAGAAAGTAGCATCACGAAGTTCTACAATAGTATTGACATCTATGCCAGAAATTTCAGATTTAATAACCAAAAATCTCAATGCATAAGAATGTTCAACATAACCAATAAAAATAGCATCAACAGTTTTAGGCCCAAGTTTCTTTCTTTTGTGTTCAGGGACTAAAACTTTTGCAAGACAGCCCCACACTTTAAAAAATTTCAAACTTGGTTTTCTGCCCGTCAAGAGTTCAAATGGACACTTATCTTTATGTTTCATGGGAATTCTATTCAGAATATGGCATGCAGTATTCAAGGCTTCCCCCCCACATAAACTTAGGTAATCCAGAATTCTCTAATAAACTGTTAATCATATCTTTAAAAGTTTTATTTTTCCGTTCAGCTACTTCATTTGATTGTGGTGAATAAGGAGGTGTTTCTTCATGTACTATACCATACTTTTGACATTCTAGTACAACTAAATTAGAAGTATATTCTCCTCCCCTATCAGATCTTAACCTTTTAATTTTCTTGCCAGTTTGATTCTCTATTTCATTCTTAAAAATTAAGAATTTTTCAAGAGCTTCATCTTTACCCTTAAGTAGATACACATAGCAGTATTTAGAATAATCATCAATAAAAGTGATAAAGTATTTCTTTTGGTCACGAGTAAGCACTCCATTAAACTCACAAATGTCGGTATGAATTAAATCAAGTAATTCTGAATTTCTATCAATTGAATGATAAGGTTTTCTTACTTGTTTAGTAGTAGCACATACCATACATTTCTTAGTTTTATCAATGGAGTGCTTAGGGATTAAATTTAAATTCATCATTCTTTTTACAGAATCTAAATTAACGTGACCCAAACGACAATGCCATAAACAAGAAGAATCATTATTCTCAGATACATAATTTAATTCAAAATAATCAACCACAATCTTAAAAAGTCCATCTGACAAGTAACCCTTGCCAATAATGTTCCACCAAATAAAATTACAACTTTATTTAATTTAAAAGACAATTCATAACCCTCCCTAACAAGAATGGAACCACTAACAATGTTCCTTCTAATTTCGGGAACGTGATGCACTCCATGCAAAGTAAGAATTTTTCCCGAAGGAAATTTTATTTCTACTTTTCCAACTCCATGCACATTAGCAGCACTTGTGTTTCCCATCATCACTGTTCTTCCAACCGCTGGCTGATAAGAAACAAAGAGCGATTTATCAGCACATACATGCATATTCGCTCTTGTATCTATTAGCCATTCATTGGAATTATAAATAGTGAAAACTTGAGGGTTAAAACGTACCATCGGAACTAGTTCCTCCAGTCACCATGTTGACTTGAGGTCCATCAGATTGAGCCTTATCCTTTTTATTTGGGCACAATTTGGCCCAATACCCCATCTGTCCACAGTTCCAGCATGGACGGTTTGCCTTTGGTTTCTTTGCAATTTTTAGTTTGGCCTTTATTGGTTTAAAAGATGATGATTGTTTATTCTTAGAATTTTGTGATTGTTTCCTCCCGGTTACAACATGAGCCTTTGGTTGAAAATCAACATGCGGAATGTATCCCGCTTTCTTATGCTCTTCCTCAACAGTTATGGAATGCATTAAAGATTTCCAAGTGATCTTTTTCATTTTATGTTTTAAAGCCATACCAAAATCTTCTCATGATTTGGGAAATTTTTCTATGACCGACATCACTTTAAATTTTTCAGGTAATTCCATATCTGCTTCACGAAGAGAATGTAAGATAAGCTCAAATTCTTGTGTCTGTTCTAACACCGATTTTCCTTCTTTCATGTCAAATCGTAGGA